AGTTAGAGAACAATAGAACCACGCGCTCGATAGTATTAAGGAAGTACATTGTAAAGTTTGTTTCATTACATTTTGCGATTACTTTCTGCGATTTAATTTCGAAGTTGAGTATACTAGAGGTCATGCCTAATCCTTAACGTCCGTACAAGTTTTCTCGGAGTAGATCTCCATGTATCAAGAAACGGTGACGAGTTTCCGAGTTTCCGTTCCCGCTGCCAAGTTGTCTCTACCGAGCATTTCTACCCCGTTGTTGTTGTGTTCCACGCGAAACTCCAATTAGTGCGAAGAACCTATCATCGCATCTGCAGATGGCAAAATTTCTCCTCACTTCAAACAGCTTTACATAAAAACTTTCAATTCGACTTCGAGAATGAAATTCATTTTCTATAACTACAAAAATACCGTAACACCACACACTCTTGACGGATTTCAAAACACTGTCTTTGAAAATGCTCAGAAAATCTTAATATTCTATTTGTATTTAAATTGCACCGACCTTGCTTGGTTCAAATTTACTTCTAAAAATACAAAAACTTCTGTTTGTGAGTAATGGAAGGGAACAATAGCTATGGAACTTCAATTCTGGTACATAACAACTGGATGAAAATTCATTGGCTCGTTCTTAGACTGTTTGCCGTCGGCGTTTTACTTTGTATTCTTTCTTTCACTACCTAGATCTCATTGCTAATTCTCCTCTCTGTCTGCCATAGATTTTTTATGATGATTTAAACGAGGATGGTGAATTTTAAGCCTGGTGTTCACGTGAAAGAAGGTGTTATTCAGGCATACTCGGAAAAAATAATTCTAGGACCTGAGCCCTGGCCCAAGCAACAGCGAATCCTATGGCCAGTGGTAGAGCATCTGAAGTATTAATCGGAAAGTCGTAGGTTCGACTTCTATATTGGGAACGCTTGGAGTTCTTTTCTCCGAGTATGCATGTGCCTTGCGGTGAATAACATCGCATTTAATTTATTATGTTAGTTCGGTGAATGTTTCAACGGATCAGCTGATACTTCCCGTACGTATTGATATTTTTCTTTCTTCTCATCACTTGACTGTTGATTTGGTATTGATATTGTTAGGAGAAATTCTGTCTTGGTCCCTAGAAGACTAAAACACCAGCTGTTCATTAAAAATTGAATTACGCCGAATAAGCTGCGAGTTTATTGACGCCAGCATCATGTTGCGCCGTCTTTAATTATGACTTTCCCCCAAATCCTTGCTGGTTTGCATGCTGTAATCGATATCGTCGGCCTTCCTGGAAATTTACTGGTCGTAGCAACGATTTTTATGGAAAGCAGGTTTCATGTAATGCTGTATGTTTTACTTGCCAGTCTGGCAGGATCAGATGTTCTCTTTCTAATCCTGGGTAACTCTCCAATCATCGCAAGCACTGCCCAAGAACGATGGTTGTATGGCGAAACAATGTGTAAACTTCATCTCGTTATTTCAAGGTATTATTACTTGAACACAGTTCTCCATCTCGTTGCTGTGTCATATGAACGGTACCACGCCGTTGTGAAATCACCTCTGACGTACGATAATTCCATTACCAGCTCAAAAGCCATGGTTATATTGCTAATATGGATTCTCCCTGTTGTTTTGTGCGCCGTCACTTTTTTCTTACATGCCGCATCCCTTTTTTATCATCCAAAACTGTTCTTTTGCAAGGTAACAACAAACGCCGGACGGTTTCTTGCTCTCGTTAAATTACTCTACTTTGCTGTGCCCTTTTTTATCATCTTTCTCCTGAACTGGAGACTTTTAAAAACAGTGAATTCCCTCCAGCCTAACGATCAACCAGTCATAGAACAGGAGAGCACAGGTGCAAGTTATAACCAGGGTTCGAGCCAATAGCAACAGCGTGAGGCGAGAAGAATCATCGATCGGAAGGCAACTGTCGATGTCTGCATCATAATCGCGGAATTTGTGCTCTGTTTTCTTCCTGATTGGACTGATTCTATTCTTCGTAATTTTTTTTACAGAAGAGTTTCCGCCTGAAATTGCTCAAACCACGCGTTGTATTTTCTACATCAGCCCTCTGACCAATCCGATAATCTATTCTGTTCGCGTTGGAGTTAAAAGAACGCTTAAGAGGATTGGTGGACTGTGAATGGCATTTCATTTGCCATTGGTACAGACAACGTGATAGGCTAGGTGTACATGATTCACGGCTAGCTACTGCGGGACTCCCTTCAACTGAGCAATCAAGAACTGCACAGGTAGCCCAAAACCAGAGATGCCATCCTATAAGTAAGTAAGTAAGTAAAGACTTTACTTAAAGAGGGTAGCACTAGAATAGTATAAAAATACCAACAAACCCGTGGCCCTCTAAAGTTATGTACAATACAACGAATCAACTTAACGGCCTGCTCCCAGTTGGCTTGTTAGCTCAATTGGTAGAGCGCTGCGCTAGTATTGCAGAGGTCAGTAGTTCGAATCCCGTACAGGCCTGATTTTTTTTTTAAGGTCTGATTTTCGCTATTGCTTAAATAGCGCTATCTACTGCGAGGATCGTGCATCATACGTATCTAATATCGCAGTTCAAAATATGTGAATTTCATATATTTCATTGTATCTAATACGGAAGTTGAAAACTATGGCATAACTATGAGACTATATAACGAATAAAATACAAGAGGTAAGAGATAAAATCAATTAATAGTACAAAAGCATAACTAACTCACAAAATAAGATGATTTAAACTGGCCTGCTGCTCTTCAAAGAATTTTTTCCAAAGAGAGTTCCTAAAAGAATTGAGCGACGCTATTTTCCGCATGGATAGCGGTAAGCTGTTCCAGGTTTGACAGGAACAACAACTGAAGAGATCGCTGAATGCCTTAAACACTATAACCCACGCTTCCTTGCCAAAATGATTTCTAAAAGGTGTCTCTTAGAGAATTGTAATAGGTACTTTATTGGCTGAACGGGAGGGCCAGACTGGAAAATATTTGGCTCAGCGTCATGACGCGCGATCGAGCGCTAAAAATTCTCTAAAATTGTCTTTTCAAAGATAATTATTTATTTCCAAAGTTTCTATGATACGCCGACCACTTTCACTTGATTCTTCCGTCTAAGAGAAAATTTTGAATTGTTTTGTTTTTTTTTTTCTTAGCATGCGCGGGAGAGAGACTAGAATGAACTGATTTCGAATGTAACATTGCGGCAAGCACTGAGAAATATGTTGTAATATAGAGTTTAGATTTTTAACCGAAAAATGTGATTTAATGCATGGAACAAAGCCAAATGAACAATGACAAAAACCAGTTAATTGTATCAGCAAAACTCCCTTTAAACATATGATGTAACTAACTAAGACGAAATGCGAAAAGTAAAGAAAAGGATACACAACATGGCTGTCAAAACAGAAAGTCAATATAGCTTGCTGATCTTTTAAAAACCTTCGTCAAAAGGGCCACCACTGGGCGACCTCATTATTACGAACAACATATACCAATTGATACGCTCATAACACAAAAATATTTTACAACGAAAAACCTAATTTTCTCTCTGTTTCAATTCCTTTGAGTTCAAACCTTCCGGCCATACACACGTCAGCTTTCATTATGCTTTTCTGTAGGATCGTGTGCGCGAAGGCCCGTTTCTTGAAAGTCACGTTTCTTGAAATTCCCGGTAACTCAACGGACCCTAGGCGATGTTTTGAAATCAAAATTTAAAAGATAGGGAAGCAGGTTCTGGCACCCAAACCGGTCCATTTTGTTTCTTTAGCTAATAGTTTTATTGTATCATTTTCCAAACTTTTGAAATCCCTATCTTGAATAAAAACGGAACATATCGGGACTTTCGAGAAACGGGCCCTGGGGCCAGAAAGGTCGCATGACAACCATTCCTATGTATTCATTCGTCCAAAGTTTCCTTTTTCGGTTTTCATACATACAGTCTTTTTTAGATAATTGTCTCGCAAACCGTACACCTTCTTTAGCGCATCTATTGGAGCGGCCCACTATTAAAGGACGACCCTACTCCACTTGTCAAAATGACCCCCCCCCTCCACCCATGTATTGACCACCATGTAGTGTCGAAATGACCCCCCCTCCACCCATGTATGTCCCGAGGCCCGTCCCGATTGTGCTTGGCAAATCTGGGCAATGTTTGGGTTTTGCAGCAACTTTTTGCGGTTCTAGCAACCTCCAGCAATTTTAAAGGCTGATAGTTTCGAAAGAAACTGTTTGGGGCTGCGTCGGTGGGGGTAACGAAATAATTTGGATAAATCAACAAAGTTGAAATGGTAAATTGGCCACCGTAACGATTACAAAAGCTGACGTTTCGAGCGTTAGCCCTTTGCTCCGACGAAGGGCTAACGCTCGAAACGTCAGCTTTTGTAATCGTTACGGTGGCCAATTTACCATTTCAACTTTGTTGATTTATCCAAATTATTTCGTTACCCCCACCGACGCAGCCCCAAACAGTTTCTTTCGAAACTATCAGCCTTTAAAGAAAGAAAAAATAGAGGAATCTTTCTGTCTGCTTCCGTAGTAACACAAATAAAGCCCAAATGGCGCCTCTCAAATCAAGCAAACAAACCNGTAACGAAATAATTTGGATATATCAACAAAGTTGAAATGGTAAATTGGCCACCGTAACGATTACAAAAGCTGACGTTTCGAGCGTTAGCCCTTTGCTCCGACGAAGGGCTAACGCTCGAAACGTCAGCTTTTGTAATCGTTACGGAGGACAATTTATCATTTCAACTTTGCTGATATATCCAAATTATATCCAGAAATTTTAGCCTTTCTGTGCATCTGATTGGCTGAGAGAGGCACAAATTTCCTGAACCAATCACAAAGCGAAGTAAGGCAAAACCGGTGCAACACCCAGTGGCGGATCCAGACCTTGAACTAAGGAAGGTAGGGTGGGGAGGGGGTTTGTGTGTGTACAGCTGCCGGCTTTTCTTCCTTCTGCGACTTTTTCCCCAAGGCTACTTTCGACACTCAATTGAAGATTGCTTAAATACAATAAATATAATAACATAAACAACATAAATTATGCCATTTGCTTTTATTTTAATATTTCTATGAAGATGTTTATCATGGCGTTGCAAACCCCACGATACTGGGTGCGACCAGTTTGACACATACAACCAGAATGCAATTTGGTACGAACCAAGAGAATTCTTTTATTCCACCTTTAACAGTACCCAAATTTGAATTTTTAAAATATTCAGGGCCGGTTATTTATACGAAGTCTAACCCAAACCGCGGTAATACGAAAGCAGTGAACCGCAGTGATTCTCCATAACTGGGTAGACTTAATTCTTTATTATTTTTTTTTTTAATTATATTAATTTTAGTTTGATTCAATTTAATTTAATTAAAGAAATGTCCTTCCACTATAAGCTTTCGGCCATCTTGACACTGTTCACGAAAGTAAATGTATAGATAAGAGCTTCGGCTAAGTTGAAGACGACCTAGAATGCGGTTTTGCTAAACAACGGCTGAACTTTGTTCAAATAACCGGCCCTTATTATGCGAATTCCTTTCTTCTAGGTCTTCAAGGCCAAAGAAAAATCAATTGATAATTCAGATCACTACAGTCAACCAGATACCATTATCACTTTAAACCGTAAGATCAGTGTGTATATTTTCCTTAGTACTCTCTTTACATTTAATGGAGATTTAGCACCACATTTAAGAAAAACGTGAGCGATAAGAGTGACCACGTGACCTTGTTTTTCTTCCCGCCATTTTCTCACGTTTGCTGGTCGCGCTTTGCCGTTTCTACGTGAAAGTAACCTGTTTTGCGTTTGCAGTACACATAAGATTTTTCTCACTTTTTCTTTCACACAGTAAAAGGTTATTATCGGAAAAAGGCACCAAAACTATTCCTTGTAAGTCATACAACCATGACAGGAACTCACGCTAAGCGAAAGGAGCAAGGTTTACGCAATTTTACGTGAAAGCGCAAGCTGACGTTGGCCGTTTCACTAAGCCGAGGTGCTAAATCTCTCTACTGCCCATAGTACTGAAGTGGAGAAGGTGTTCAACTATCAAGAGCTTCTCTGGTAGGTGATTATTTCCCTCATTCCCATGTCCTTTTTGTTTTACTCAACAGTGATACTGTCAGGAGAAATAACATGTCGATCACCTTCACCGTTAAGGGCTAAACCCAAACTAAGAATTCACGCGAAAATCAGCAATAAAATCAACATTGTACCACAGACTAAGCTGGATAAGCTCTGACTGACATACTGTACCTTAAAAGGAAAACAATCTTTACATTTACAACACAACAAACACCACACCTGTTCTGCCAAACCACAAATTAAATTATAAAAGAAAAGAGTTTTCCCTTGAGTTAGTTCATCTCCAATACTTTTACACCCTAACACCAGCATGCATATTCTCCAAACTCTACTTCATATATTTCCTAAAAATGCTGAAAAGGAGAATTTGTTTAACAGTCAAGAGCTTCTTTAATTGCTGATCATTTCCTTTATTCTCATGACCCTTATGTGTGATTCTCAAACCCAGTTTTAAAAAAGTAGCCCACACTGAATGGAGGCAGTTTGTTCAAAAAGTTTGTGTCAAATTTCCCATCTTATTACAACTCACTGATAACATGAATTCTTTATTCTTGTGACCTTAATGTGTGATTCAGGGGTGCTATTGCTAGGAGAATATAGATACTGGTCACTCTTGTGCAACCAAGTTTAAGTTTCAAACCCAGTTTAAAAAAACGTAGCCCACATCGAATAGAGGCAGTTTGTTCAAATCACATAATTATCAACGTTTGTGTAAAATTTCCCATCTCATACATCTCAATGATAACAAATTCTAACTCTTTGTCCAAACGGAGAAATGCTGACTTATCTAATATAAATTCTGATTAAAAATAAGTCACCATTATTGTATTGTTTTTGTGACAATTGCGCATGTAAGTAAAAATTACAAGCGGCTTCATGCCAAGCCTTTCATTTTGTACGTAAGACTGATTTTTTTATCATGGTAACTTTAAAATGTGTGCAAAGTTTCCAACACTCTTGTTGTAAGTTAGTGGCATGTCTTAAATATGGCAAAAACCATCATGGCAACTTTGAAATGAGTGCAAATTTTCCAAAAATCATTTTGTAAGTTAGCAGCAGGTCTTAAATATGGCAAGAAAGCACTTGGTCCAACATTGTCTACCCATTTTTAAGATGACTACTGGTAGAAATGTAAAATTTCACCTATTATGGAAAGTGTCATTTTAGGTGTCAAAACCATAAACCTCTTTCATATTTAACTAAATTTCAGGTGGAGTCATTGCCAATTCATTTGTAGAAGTTACAAAGGGATAAAAACTTGTATAACCCATCATTTACAAGTAAAAGTTTTCATAAAAGTGTCACTTTTTCTTTGGTTGTCTGAGTATTGAGCTTTGAGAAGTCCTCTACCAGTTTAGAATTTTAATTACAACATGAGAGCATTCCAAACAGCTAATCCAAGAGCACATGCATGCTACTGAAATAATCATTACTAACAATACCTGCTATTCATAAAAGAGCAGAGGCGAATCCAGACCATGAGCTAAAGAGGGGGGGAGGGGGGTTGGTTTTTTTGGTGTGTCGTCTGCTGGTGTTACTTTTGCAATATTTATTTTTAACCCAAAATAAGGGGAGGGCCCAGCCCCCCCCCTCCCCCATTGTCTCCTCTAGATCCGCCACTGAAAAGGTCTATAAAAGAGATCTTATAAACACTACTAACCTAATGATCTAAGCAGGGCACTTCTCACATTGCATTTTAACAATATTGTGTCCCCCCTTTAAGGAATTCTTCTCATAGGCAACTTCCAAGCCATTTTGTTCCAGTGCGAGCTTTGGAGTGTGTGGAGAAGAGCTGGTAAAATTGGGCTGTTCTGCACTGGTGCTGTTTTGTGAAAGTGGTGAGAAAATATTTTCCCTTGAAGCTACGTCTGTTTTTTCAGACCTGGAGAGCATCTGGTCTTTCATAGATGATTCATGTTTCTCTTCCTGGACATGATAACTATTCTTGACATCAGAACTCTTTTTAACAACCTTGTCTGAATCACACAAATCATTGCCTGATGGTGAGGGGACAACTGATATAGGCTCACTCATAGTGTGTGTAAGCTTGTGGTTCCCTTTTCCTTCCCCACCTTTATCAGAATTCCGACTAGCAACTGGCTTGTCTGTGGAAGCTTCACTGGAAGCCGACTTTTCAAGCTCTGCTCTCTCCATATCTGACAAATTTTTATCTGTTCCTGATACCAAACTGTTTAAATCCTCAGCTGAATCAATGCTCACTTCATCCAAATTTTCACTAGAAGATGCTTCATCACCTTCAGGTGAAGACTGAGAAACAATGACATGCAAATGTTCACCTCCTTCTTTATCTTCAACTTTCTCCACTGTGCTTTCATTTTTGGCTGACACCTCAGAAATTTTACTTGCATCTTTCCCCTCAAATTTAGTTGGGAATTCTGGTGTAGCTTCTTCACTTATTGGTGACATGGGGTCATTACTGGTAAGTGCCAGCACAGAGCTTAACGATGGAGCATTGTTATAGAACTCCTGAAAATCAACAAATTGCAATGAGCTTCTACAAACAGTTCCAGATTAGCTTGATGTCAGTGATAACTTCTTTAAGTGACTTAAATTGGCAACAAGAGCATGGACATGCAACTAATTTTGGTTTCGGTATTCTGGTGCAGCTTCTTCACTTATTGGTGATATGGGGTCATTACTGGTAAGTGCCACCAAAGAGCTTGACGATGGACTATTATTATAAAGCTCCTGAAAATCAATGCAAGGCAATGAGCTTGTGCGAATAGTTACAAATTAACTTGACCCCAGCAATGACTTCTTATAGTGACTTAAATTGGTTACAAAAGGATGGACATGTGACTAATTTTACATAGTTTTATTAATAAGCTGAAATGTAGACAAATTTTGATTAGTAGTTCTTACTCATGATCTATTGGAGAACAGTTGTAAGGATGACATCACCATTAACAATTTTTCCGTGCTCTATTTAAGAGACAAATAGATTCCGTGTTGCTGTGGGTCTGTTTGTGAACATTAGTGACACACTTGTGGATTTCATCAGAAGCCGCCAGGCAACCAGCAAAATAATTCTAGCAGCTATTCTCCACAACAGAGCCGGCTACTATGGCCTTTCCACCTCCCACTTTTTGTGTGTTTTTTGGAAAACATTCATTATATTCTAAAGGTAGTCACCAATAAAGGTGTTTTTTGTTGACAAAATGTTTGTCTCCTATTTGGTTATTGGCTGATTTTTGTAACAAGCTCTAACAATTCAATCAACAACACGATCAGTTCGTTGTGCACCATGTTGAATAGACTGAAGAGAAAGACTGATGACTAATCTGCCTCAATTACTGCTGAACTGCACTCTGCCTACTAATGTCCTAATATATGCCTACTTCCAAAATTAATGAAGAACCTGAAGAGGTTTCAATTACCTTCTTTTCATGAAGCTCTTCAAGAACCTTTGGAATATCAGCGGCAGTACTGGGTGGTGATAAACCAAGCATTAAAAGATGTTCAACAACTTCTGGATGAAGGTTCAATTTACGAGGCACCTTAATTGGGTAAAGAAAAAGTTTATAGAAAATAAATATCTTTGTAGAGAAAAATGGGAAATTATCAATAACATTTATAGCAAGCAGTCACGTCAATCAATCAGTTAAATTTATTGTCCTTATGTGGGGCATGGTTACCCAGATTGCCCGAGCCAGAGGCTCATGTATGAAACACAAGACAGCAAACCACCCATCCCACCCCAGGGGAGGACATCCATCACACAGTAATCTTGTGAGTGGGAAATTAACTGAATTGAGCCTGGAATTTTTCTTTTTGACTAATACTCTGACAATTAAGGACTCTACACTACACCTTTTCAAACTCATCACTAAGGTCATAAAACTTTTGCCAGAAATAAAATTTTAGTTTCCAAAAAAAAAAAAAAAAGGAGAGCATTTTATTTTATTTCATTGAGTCATGAGACTTAAAACACTCAGTAATAAGGAGGCCAGAGCCTCCCTCATGACCTCTGAACAGTGGGTAGAAAGTTTCACTGAAAATTTGAGTGCCAAAGTTTATTTCTAGTTTCTGATGTGATTGCTTTCAGTGACTCTGACACAACCTAAGGAGAACCTAGGTGTTGATATGTTTGCTAGATTCTTTAACACTGATCAGAATGAGTTAACATTTTTGCTTCCAATACCTCATTAGTAATTAATTTGCCTTATTGTATGCTATACTATTCTCGTGATGTTAATTTGGAGAATTTGGTATTGGATCAGCTACGTACGTCTAATAATCCCCTAATTGACATTTTTCCATATTCTTATCACTTGTCTGCTTGATATTGTACTGGTGTGGTAAGGAGAAATTCTGTCTTGGTCACCCACAGTAGAAAATTAGACTGTACTTAAAAAATAACTTTGATCTCAAACTCTAACAGATATATCTCCTTGCTGGTGAATATTCCATTTATCAATTTTTTTCATCAGTAACTAGTTACAGACCTCTTTTGCTGACGAACGCCTTCCTTTGCGACTGCCTTTCCGTGATATTCTATGAACTCCAGCAAAGACTCCCACCAGGTCATCAGCATCTGACTTGCGCCTGAGAAACATTCCCTCACCACATGAGGAAAAGTCAGCACCTGGAAACAACATGTATCAAATTTTATCAGATCAAGTATCATATGCATGAGACTCAGAAAAAAATGTGCTATCTACAAAACATGTGCATACTTGCAGATAACGAGACCACTGGTTCCTTGTCTGTTGAAGCTGCCCCTTGAATTTCTGGGAGATGAACCAAACTTGAGTGCAACTTCTCCAAATGGCTGATGAGGGTGTCACAAAGTGATTTCTCCTTTTCATAGAGCTGGCGTATGGCTCTGATGCTGACCCTGCAGTGCAAACAAAAATGCTTTTCAATTTGTATAGGTAATCACATGATTTCGAGTGCAATTTGGAATAAATAAGCACAAGTAAATTTTTTCAAATACTAACAAAATTGCATGAGCCCGTAGGGCGGGTGTAATTTGTGGTCTTTGAAAAAATTTACAAGTGATTATTTCTTCCAAATTGCACAAGAAAATCATGTGATTATGTATTAATAATATACATGAAAAAATACGAGGTAGCTTCTCATAACTACACAGAAGAGAAGTGCACGCATCACGTGCAAAAATAATTTAATCAAACTCTGCAAGTGACATTGACCTTGACATTTACATTGACCAATCATTCTGACCAATCAGAGTGTCTGGTTTGTTTGTTTCTTTTGCACTGAATTAACTCTCTTCTGCACTGAATTAACCGAAAACTGCATTCATCTTAACCAATCAGAACTGAGAAATTTTTTCATGTATATTACTAGACCATTAAATAACACAGAGATTTCTATGCAGGGTCACACGTGGGGATGGGAACAGATTCCAAGGGTCTGCATCTTTGCACCCCACAATCAAAAGAAGAGGCTTTGTTGGTATGACATAAAAGGTTTTGGTAAATTATGTTTTAGATTTAAGATTGTGAAATACTTTAATGCACTCAAATTTCACCTTGTTTTATGGGCAATAACTGGCCCCTTTTGTGCTACCTTTAAATCTCACTAAGTCACCTAAGGCAAAGTACAGTTTCTTGACAGTGTAAATCCTCCAAAATAGTTAAATACAGGTGTGATGAAACTTACACAGCTTTCATCATGGTTTGCTTTTCATTCTTTCTCTTGGTAGCCTCTTCTCTTTGTTTTTGATTCTTTATTTCTCTCATGGCAGAGTAATAGTCACTCTTTTCTTTAGAAAACCTTGCTTTCAGTTCTTTTCTCTCACTATGAAGCTCATTCAGCTCTTCAAACCAAAGAGAGAAATGTGAGAATTTATCTAGACATCAATAAACAGATTTTACTTGACTGCATAAGGATTTATTTTGGGGAAACACTTGCTATCAATTCAAGGTCCTTTCTAAATTACCTAACTGTGAGTATGCATCTATGTTACCTTGACAAAAATTTTTTTTTCATAAGAAAATAATTTGGTAATTTTCAAAGGACATCACTGACAACATTGTTGAGGAACTATTTTCTAACAAGAGCAAGTGTTTCCTCAAGATATTAAAAAAAAAAAAAATTAAAATGAAAGCACAAGACTGTAAACTGAGTGCTTCTATAATTGTTACAGTAGGAGTTGCAAGGTGTTTGGATATCCCAATGAAACAAGAACTCAAGTTTTGGAAATAATTTTAGTTATTATTTTGAATCACTCTTTAAACAAATAATAAAGACAGACTTTCAATTTGAATATTGTTTGCAAATGAATAACGTAACTGTCTCCTTGGTGCCGTGGAAAGATATTGGATCCAAAATCCTAGGCACTGGTCTTAGTAAGATCACCCATGACTTGTGAGGATATTTCTCTATTTTGTGCAAGTTGTCAATGAGCAAGTTTGCATGGTATACATGTATATTAATTACTATCACTGAAGAATGGTATTATTAACACTGTATCTCATTGGGTATCCAAACACATGGCAGTGATCTGGGCTCAACACCAACGGCAGCCCACTAGCCACAGACTGGTAGAAATTTAGTTTTGGCTGGTGATTTTCAATTTCCAGTTTGGCTAGTAAACAAACTGAAATTGTTGTAACATCCAAGATGTCACTAGTCACTTGGGTAGTAAGTTGAAGAGTTAGTGTCAAGCCCTGATGATGTGGTTTACATCTGCTTATTAGTAGTTGACCTACTGAATTGTTTACGAGTCTGAAAAAGTTTTCAGAGCTTCAGGGCTTGACACTAACTTTTCAACTAACTGACCAAGTGGCTAGAGACCACTTGGATGTTATGACAATTTCAGTTGTTTACTAGCCAAACTGGTAAGTGGAAATTGAGAACCACTAGCCATAACTTAATTTCTACTTGTCTGTGGCTGAGTGGGCTACTGTTAGTATGAAGCCCTGGAACTTGCCAGATTAGTTCTTAGACTTTTAAACCCTGCGAGTGACTAACAGCTAATTTCTCCTTACAAGATCATTCAATATTTTCAAAAGTTTTTGCAACAGACATATTAATTTAACTATAATAATTATTGTGATGAAAGTAAATACGTGTGTCAGTTATATGTATATAAGGTGCTGACTATCCTAGTTTTTTGGGTTGTAAAATTCCTTATCACAGAAAAATGTGAATTGTTTGTCTTGAGCATAGGGTCTGAGGCAGCTGCAGCTTGAAATCTTTCAATCTTTAGTATGGTTTATCTGCTGAGCCACATGCAGTTAATTTGCTGGCAGGTTTAATAATTAGCGGTACTCATGGTTGTACAAGGGAATCCTAGTCTAACACTCTGACAATTATCATGGCTGCGCCTCGAGGAACTCTTACGCTTCTCTCGTGCTCTCCAAACTCCCCGCGTGCATCCATAATTCAATATACGCACGCTAAGCATGAAACAATTCTTAACTGTTTGCTGAGAGGGATACAGGTCTAAAACAATTCATGTTAGGAAAGTGTTCACAACAGTTTTTGCTACAAAAATATCAATTCTGATGATTATGGAAGTAATTAGACTTAAAAAGTACATGTACAGTGTATATGCGACAATTGATATTTTGCTCATTACACTGAAACATAATGAGATGCAGTAGAATAACCACCAGAGTTTGCACCTGGTGGGTGAATTTACATGTAAAATGCAGGTCACGCCTTAATTTAGATCATTGTTTAAAAAAAAAGGGTATTGGAGAAAACTAAAATATGTTCATTGGGGAATTGATGAAACCCACAGAAAATGTTCCACACAGTGGCTAAGTGATCAATTGTAATTTTGCTAGAATAAATGTCACCGAGAACATTAGGGCATGATAATATTTTCCTAATATGTTGCCAATTGTGGTTAAGACAACATCTAAAAAGAGGAGTTTGGTAGTTGAAAATGAGCTTTGTGTGCATTCACGTTTTTGCAGGTTATGCAATCAACTTAGAGAGGTGATTGATTCATTTTGCTCTTACATGTCTGTAGGTAAAGCTCCACACAGCTCTGTAGACTGTGGAGAAACAGAGAGGAACAAACAAGGACAGTCTGGGTCAGGTGAGTATTTTAACTTTACATTGCATATTACAGTTATCAGTGGACTCAGTAAAAAACAAAATCAGTAAATCAGGTACGACAGTTCTTAAGAATTTAAAAAAACCAGTAAATTAATTTTTTATTATTCTGTACAACAATGGGACAATCAACATCTTCCAGTCTAACATTAAAATTACTACATTTCCTCAAAATAGCCTCCAGGCTCTACATAATCTTAGCACCCTTCCCCTATTCAGTTCCCATCCCCCCTCCCCAAGCCAGTAAACTAAAAAAACTCTGCCTTGAATAATCATCATTTCTCCTCCGTCACTTTCCTAAATGAAAGGAGAAACCTTTTTCTTTTACAACTTTATTTGTAACTTTTTGAACTTCACTTACACAGCTAAATCAGTGTAGGTTAATATTTTCTTGATAAACAACCTCCTCAACTAAGCAACCTGATCCTTCCAATAAGTGCCCTTCTTCTAACTAAAATTCTAAAAAAATGCCCGGGTGCTTATTTTAGGAAGTAGGAAAGACCTTTGTGTAATTGCAGATTGAGATGAAGCTATTTTGTATAAGATTAAGAAGAATTTCTGTTACTGTTTCTGCTTTACTTTCAACTTATAACAAAGAAATGTATGGAAATACCTGAGTGTAGAAATTTACTACCCCACAACACTGATTAATCATAACTGTTACAATTTCCTCAAATGTGATTGGTGCATTAGCTGCTTTATTTTTCACTAATCATTCTGAAGAGTTGTAATCAAACAGTTAAAGCAGCCAAACATAGTAAGTCCACTCAGCTAAATCCACCAATCACAGAAATGATCAAAGTAACCACAGCAACAACCACTAATATCCTAAAAAAACTGGGGAACTTACCAAATGGAGGGATTTTTCACTTAAGACAAGTCATTGTCTCAACCTAAGATATTTTCCCTAAATGTATTTCTTTTTTTTTTTCTTCAACATTNATGTTCAGTGTAGTATCTATGATGCAATTGTGTATGGTTGAAAGGAATTAGGGGATTTAAAAGCACGTGGTCGAGTGTAGAGTTGAATCTGTTTTGTGTGCGTGTAATTTGGTTAAATTTGAAATTATGTTTCACAGAACGTGAAACACTACATTCAGTATTTCTTTGGAATCTCATTATGAAGTTGGTCTAATCAAAGAAGTTTTTTAGTCATTCTACTGGTAGAATTTTTTTTTGATAACACTTTGAAAACAATTGCCATATAATTGCTTTTTCAAATTATCGTTTGACAATTGATGATTAGGTTGTTGTTATATTCATTTCTTTATATCCAGATAAAGAAATAGAAGAAACACACAGAAAGGAGAGTTTGACAGCAACAAGTAAATCTTGTACAAATTCTTAAGCAATAAGTAACATTTGCTGAGAAGGATACACTGGTCTGAAAAAAATCATGAGAGGAAACTATTCACAGAAGTTTTTGCTACAAAAATATCAATTCTGATGATTTTGGAAATAATTATAGTGAAAAGTACAGGTACAGTGCAGATGTGACAATTAAAGTTTTGCTTGTATACTGAAACATAATGAGATGCAGTAGCTAGAATAACCACCAGAGTTTGCACCTGGTGGGTGAATTTACATATAAAATGCATGTCGTGCCTTAATTTAGTTCATTGCTGAAAAATAAGGGTATTGGAGATTTTATTTAGTTTAATTATTTTACTCCATTTTCACTGCATTAATTTTTGCAGTAGGGAAGGACTAGAAAGGAACATATGAACCATTCGTGCTAGTCCACCCTCCCCCCCATCCTACCCCAGGGGAGGACATCCATCACACAGTAATCACATGTGTGGGAAATTAATGTCTCCTAACCCAACCTTGCAGGAGGCC